ATATCAGATTAGATCAGAAATATTCAGGTCTCATAAAAAACATTCAGATCAGAAAAGTTCAAACATGATTTATAATTAGATCAGATAATAAATATAATTACAATTATAATTAGAATTATAATTATAGCTATAATTATAATTAGTGTAATAGGTATTATTATTATAATTTACTTTTAATTATATTTATAATTATACTTTTATAATTACAAATACAATTATAATTATATTTATAATTACAATTATAAATATATTTATTATAATTATAATTATAGAAATATTAAAATCAGATCAGAGAGATTCAGATCAGTTCATAAGAATTCAGATCAGATTAGAAAGAGAGAGAAATGAGTGGAGTGAAGTACGGTAATGAGGCATACGTTTTTGTTATTTGTTATTATTATTATTAGTAGCAGGGGGTATTAAGAGAAAGACATGTGGCTTAAGAGGAGAAAAAGTAGGGATTAATAAGAGGCACACACGTAGGATTAAAAAGGGGCAAAATGTATTTCTATGAGTCTATTCTTTTCTTATATATAAATATAGACGGAATAGGAAAATTTAAAATTTAAAGCCCTAGTATTCATGGTAATATTGAAATCAGATCGAGCATCTCAAGTAAGTGAAATTACGAAAAAAATATTTAGAATAAACTTCTTTGGAAAGGAGTATTAGGTTTAGCGTCGTTAACTCACTCGAAGAAAAAATATTTGAGAGAATTCCCTAAATAGAAGAGTAAAAACGTTTTGAAATTTCAAAATAGGAGTATCATGTTTTTTATTCCCTGAATAGAAGTAAATTTTTGTCAAGTTTGGCATTACAAGGCTTTTAACATGCCATTTTTTTCCAAACTTGTCAGGTTACTCTTATTTAGGGAATAAAAAACATGATACTCCTATTTTGGAATTTCAAAACGTTTTTACTCCTATTTAGGGCAATTTCTGAAAATATTTTGACATTGAGCCCGTTTGATAGCACGAAAATCGACTGATTTTGCTGATTCTGCTGAAATTTATGAAGTTTTGGCTGAAGTGACTGCATTGGCTGATTCTGCTGTTTTAAGAAAAAACTATTTTTAAAATATATATTTTGTTAATAAAATAAAAGAAAATTATATGTAAAAATAACTAAAATGATCATCTACAGTAACTTCAGCCAAAACAGCCAGAAAAGTAACTTCAACCTTACTTTTCTGCTTATTATACAATTCAGTGCGCGAAAGCAAAAATTACGTGTTTGGTGAAAAAGTTGGCTGATAAGCCGAAAAACGGTGGTCTCAAACAGCCTCTAATTATGACTTGACACAACTATTATTGGTCCTATAGATTCACATATACTTCTAATAACATAAAATAAGTTAAATTTCAAATGATCCGCTGAACCTATCAACAAAAAACTTTAACAAAAATCTAAATAACAAAATGATAATAATAATAACTGAATAGGATAATTTTCTTGAACCCTAGCGTTTCGTTCAACTCATGGCAGTGATTCAAGAGTAAAGCGGTCATTAGTACCGTTGTGATAGATCTTGCACCGCTGGCCGAATTATGGACCGCCATAGCCATTTTTTGTGCTTAGGGGCGAGTTCAATTTTTTCGTTTCAGTTTTGATCAAAAACCAAATATAGAATCGAAGTATAAAGTTCAATTTCGGTTCGATTTTACATTTCAAAACTTGGAATCACAATTTGATGGTTTGGCTCGGTTTTGGTATTTTCGGGTTTTTACTAAAAAAAATTATTTGATTTAAAATGATACAATAGGTGGGGATCAAATATACTTGTATTACATAGAAATCAAGTACCTTGTGGCGCCAGTAAATCTTAAATTCACATTTTGTAATCACTTAAACCGGAAGACACACTTGACCATTGACTAATTTCAAGTTTGTAATTTACGTCTAAAGAGGAAAGAAAACATCACCTTGATGAATGATGGGTTACATTGGTTGTGTTAGTAGTGTTATTAAACTTATTATAATGTTATTACTTTATTTTATGGCTATTGGAGTAGACCCATAAATTTAGTTTAATTGATGACTTACTGAAATAGTTATTCAGAGTATATATTTTTTACATCTATTAGAAAATGTCATCTAATAAATAAAATTTTAATTGCAAATAATCAGTTCTGGTAGATAGTTAAATACGGAGTATAATGTTAAAATTATAACGGATCTCTTCTAAAAGATGAAAACTCAATGCAAACACTTTTGATATATTTTGTTCAAAATTTTGCGATCGTAAGGATGTTTTTACTTGGACTAATTATCAATCCAAGACCAGATTTAAACGGACCAAATCAGACCAGACTTTCATAGTTATAAAATACAAAAAGACCCAGGCATTTATAAAACCAGACCCGTTCAGACAAGACTAGACCAGATTTAAACAGATTAGATCAGACAAGATCAGGCCAACAAATTTCAGCCCACGTAAAAACATCCTAACAACACAATTATACTTTACTAATTTTTACTCTTTTGTTCCACCACTTCTACGTAGTGCTCCATCCATTCCATTTACACATCTTACTTTCCACTTGAAGTTATCCCAAAATAAGTGTCATATTTTTTTCCTGGAAAGACATGAGATCCACGATATTTTATTCTACTATACTCAAATCACTACTTCAGCTTTTATTTTTCAATCATTTTATTAATAATTATGTCAAATCGAAACAAGACACATAAAATTGCACATAAGTATTACTATATTTTTAACCACTCTGCCCCCAATATTGTCAGCTTCATGGAATATTTAAAACAAAGTTTAACATTCTTTTTTTTTAATGAAGTTTAACATTCTTTTTAAATCAAAGAAGAGGAAGAAGTTGTCATCGTAGAACGCATATGGACTGACGGAGGAGGACTAAGAAATTTAAAGAATACATTCGTTGATACATTATTAGCGACTAAGAAATTTATAGAAATAAAACCTATTTGTTAATACTAAAATTGACCTAATTAGCTAATTCATTCCATTTGAATTGATGAAGTTTTGATCGAAGTGATTGAATTGACTTAATTGTGAAAAAAATATTTAAAATACAATGTATTAATAAAAAACAAAGTTAAACGAAAATAAGCTAATTTGATAGTAAAGAGGGGTGTCGGTTTTACTTAATGAATCACCACTTCAAGTGGCAATTTATTAAATCGTCATTAATTCGTCACATAAAAAAATGTCTAGTGGTATTTTTGTAAATTATTTTTAGAAGCTGTTTGGTAACAGATTATTCGGCTTATCAGTCAACTTTTTCCCAAACTTTTATTTTCACACGCTGAATTATGTAATAATAAGAAAAAGTAAGGTAAGAGTTACTTTTTTTACTGTATTAGTTGTAGTTACTGTATATGATCGTTTTAGTTATTTTTACATTTTTTTTCTTTATTTTATTAATAAAATACGTAGTACATTTTTAAATTTTTTCTTAAATTATCAGAATCAACCAATGCAGCCACTTCAGCCGGAACTTCATAAATTCCAGCAGAATCAGCAGATTTTTGTGTTACCAAACCGTCTATTAATCTAGTTCTAAATTTATACTACCTTCGTCCCACTAACATTGGGACGGAAGAATGTGCCACACAAACTTTACCAAATTTGATATGAGACAATTTTAATGGGACTTCCCGAAAAGGTAAAATGGAACAATCTTAACGCCTTAACGGAACGGAGGGAGAATTATTTAAGCACTAACCAAGGAAAGTTAGAATGTTTAATTGGATTTTAAGTAGGATGGGCTTGTTTAATACTCCGTACATAATCTCATCTCACTAATAATAAAAAACAGTCATTAGTTGTTTTGGTAGTTTTACACTTCTCTGTAAATTAATGACAACATTAATTTAGGGGAAAGAGGGCAAATACCCCTTCAGGTTGTCATCAAAGAGCAACCGCGCCCTAACTTTTTTATTGGGCAAAAGGCTTTAAAATCATAGAAAGGAGGGCAATTACCCTCTGCCAACAGTGAACCGGTTAACTGGCAATTAAGGGTTGGTTTGCAACTCCTTTTAAAAAAGCACTTCTCAGCTTTTAGTTTTAAAAAAGCACTTATTTTCCCAAACACTGCAATTTTTATTTTTCTCGGCTTCCGCGTCAAAAGTGCTTTTACTTTTTCTATTACACAAAAAGCACTTATTTTACTAAACACTACCCACTTTTACTTTTCAAAATCACTTTTTTCTCAAACACTATCAACTTTTATTTAATCACTTCTCTCTATTTCATTAAAAAAAACACTTTTTTAAAGCAGAAGCTGTTGCAAACAGACCCTAAAGAGTATTCAATTGGTTCATTTGATTACTATGAATGTGTATAACAATTTAAATGTATTTTTATACTTCCTCTTTTAATTTTAGCTTGTGCTATATTAAAGACGTAAATCTAAAATATTTTGATCCTAAAATCATGACATACTGTATTGACGAGAGAGAAATGTGTAAGAATGTTTAAAACGCATTGTGAACAACAAGTTCTTTGATAAAAAAATATTATTTTGAGACGGACGAAAAAGGAAATTTGAAAATTAATTCAAGGACGAAGCAAGTATAATTCTTTATTAATAAATAAAGAGTTTTTGAAAATTTCTAATGAGACAAATTTAAGGATATTTAAAAAAAAACATTAATAAATAAAACATATTTAAAGTAGATCATGTGAATAGTGTAAATTCAACATGTGACACTTATTTAAGAAGGGAGAAAGTATGTCCTGATTTTAGGACCAAAATATTCTAGATTTAGAGCCTGTTTTGTAGCTTGAAAATCAACTGATTTGGCTGATTCTGATGAAATTTATGAAGTTCTGGATGAAGTGGTTGCATTGGCTGATTCTGCTGATTGAAGAAAAAAAATTCTAAAATATATTTTACTAATAAAATAAAGAAAAAATTATATGTAAAAATAGCTAAAATGATCATCGACAATAACTTCAGGCAATACGGTCAGAAGAGTAACTTCAATCTTACTTTTTTTTTTGTTTATTACACAATTCAGCGCACGAAAATAAAAGTTACACGTTTGGTGAAAAAATTAGCTGATAAGCGTGGTACGTCAAAAAACACGGCCTCTTAAGGTCTGTTTGCAACAGCTTCTGCTTTTAAAAAAGTGCTTTTTTTAATGAAATGAGGAGAAGTGATTAAATAAAAGTTGATAGTGTTTGAGAAAAAAGTGATTTTGAAAAGTAAAAGTGGGTAGTGTTTGGTAAATAAGTGCTTTTTGTGTAATAGAAAAAGTAAAAGCACTTTTGATGCGGAAACCGAGAAAAATAAAGTTGTAGTGTTTGGGAAAATAAGTGCTTTTTTAAAGCCAAAAGTTGAGAAGTGCTTTTTTAAAAGGAGTTGCAAACCAACCCTTACTTCTTCCACCGAAATTAAACGAGGACATCTAAAAGAAAAATATAAAAAATACTGGTAGATTTAATTTAGCTAAGATCTTCTTCTTCACTCGACTCGACTCTGCTTGATCAGTAGCAAAAGAGCAACCACAACAGGAGCAGTAATGATGGAGATTGCCTCAGCTAAATTGGGTTTTGTCATCTCCGGAAAAATTATGCTTCCGTACTTGATGGCAGCCGCTCCCGCCGCCGACCAGACCCCCAATTTCACCAAATATCCCAAATCTTCCTGCTTCGGTCATTCTACCATTAAACCCTATTTGCTCAACCCTCAAATTCAGGCAATATAGAAAGATTGTATACAAAGATTAAACCTGCAGGGAGACGAAGGAAGGGTTTCGGCCACCCGATTTGGGATCCGGAGCTTCTCTCTTTGGATCTGATGCTCGCGCTATGCCGGACGACGTCGCTCTCGAGGCGTAAGGGATGATGCGAAGGGAAAGTTGGTTCGGAGTGGTGGTTGGCGACAATATCCTCGGGTGGTTTGTGAGCGCGGATGGTGGTGGTGGGGCCGCCGCCATAGCCATATCCAAACTATTTACCTCACAAGTTGAAAAAGATGCAGCAGGGGGGCCGGCGTAACTCTCTAACACCAACGGCAGCAGCTCTCTAAATCCAATGGCGATACAATAGTACGGAGTACAATATACATAGCCGGCACCAGGAGTTGAAGAGTACCCGCATTCAATATAGAGTACAATTGAGATGGATTTTGAAGGAATTTACCTAAGTAGATTAACTGAATGTTTTGAACTGATTCTGCTTCTGGTTGTTGGGTGTGTTTCGGATAATAAAGAAAATTAATTAAAATAAATTAATTAAATAAAATGACAAGAGAAAAACAAGAAAAGAGATGAAGCAGAATTAGTCAAAGCTCGTGCTACGCACGATTTCTTTAAAACGTATTTGTTGTCTCCCACGGTGCTAGGAGCGTTGCAACAATCGTTTCTCAGGATACGATGACTACGAACTAATGTTTGACCACACAAACAAAAGTTCCAGCGAACGAGAACACAGTATGAACACTGAGGAATTTTTAGAATGCTAGCAGTGTGTTTTTAGGGGTGCAAAAGGTGCTTGGAGTGTATGAATTTGTGTAAGAACGTGTGTTGTTGCAAACCACCTGTCAGCCATTATATAGGAGGATTTGTTGTGTGTAAATGCTGATTTAATGGACCTGAACGTTGGACATCAATGACCAGTCCGTTGGGCATTGAATCGTCCATGAACTGTCCATTTAACGCGACATTAAAAGATATAAACGTTGGACATTCATTGGGTTCAGAAGTGCCACTCTACGAGGTATTCTGATCGAGGCCATCGAAGACCGACGTGTTCTGGTGGAAGCCACCAGAGACCGAGGTCTTCTGCCGCTACTTCTGTCAACTGGGAAAAATAAACGTTTCCGGAAGAAAACAAAAATTATCCGTATCTCTTGAGAGATGAATTTTTGGACGACATTCGTGTCCGCAGGTCGCCCGCGCACGCAAGTCGCGGTTTTTCTTCTCCGAATTCGGGATTTGATTTGCCCCCCCCCCCTCCCCCCCCCGCGCGCGTGGAGAGAGCCTTCACCCTTAGGAATCTTAACTCCATAAGGGGGGGTCCCTTTATAAAGGGTTGCAAATCCCTTGGGTTTTCCGGTGTGGGAAATTAACACTAGAAACCCATCATTTTTCCCTGTTTTTCCATTCTAACGGGTAAACTTCGAAAAGCGATTTCTCATTCACCCGTTATCCGTTTTGAGCATACCATATATCGAATTGTAGCCCTTAACAAGGACAATCCGAAACCACTTTGACCCGACCCAAATCGGAAGTGGACCCCACTCAAAAAATTGCCCCAAAATAGCCATTTAATGCAATTTTTCACACATTTTTCCAACACTTGTTTCTTTTTCTAAGCGAGAAGCAGAATCAAAATTTTCTGCTGTCTGAAAAAGTGATTCTGTTTGGAGTATTTGGTATATATTCTGCTCTATGTAATAGAAAATCAGTTTAGAGTGTTTGGATAGCTTGTTTTTAAAAACTGATTTGGTGTAAATTTACCAAAAGGGCATATAATAGGCATTCATTATACTCTCTCCGTTTTCTAATAGATGAGAGTATAGCCTTTGACACAAGATTTAAGAATGAATTAATAGGGGTAAAATAAAAGGTGTAGTGCGTTGTGTCACTTGTGTGTAAAGGAAAAAGTATGAAATAGAATGAAAAAGTAGGAAAGAGAATGAGAGTAAATGGGTATATTTATTGAAAAAACTTACCAAAAGTGGAGAGAGACAACTAATAGAGAACATCTCAAAATGGAAAGAGGATCAACTATTAGAGAACGGAGGGATTAATATAGAGCCCGTTTGGTGATCCCATTTTTCGGCTTATCAGGCTTATCAACAGCTTTTTCACCAAACACGCAACTTTTGATTTCGCGCGCTGAATTGTGTAATAAGCAGATTAAGTAATGTTTGAGTTACTTTTTTGGGTATATTGGCTGAAGTTACTGTAGAGGATCATTTTAGCTATTTTTTCATATGTATTTTATTTTATTTATTAATAACAACTATTTTCAATATTTTTTTTCCCGAAACAGCCAACACAACCACTTCAGCCAGAATTTCATAAATTTCAACAGAATCAGCCAATACAATCAAATTTAGTGTTACCAAACAGGCTCATAGTAATATAAAGACATATGAAAAATTAAAATTACTTAAATAATGTATTCCAAATAAAATATGCTAGTGGTTTTAGAATTCTCGTTTCAATAGGCTGTTAAAGAAAAAAAGATAGCTGGTGGGTGAAGAGGAGAGCCCCTGTCTGAAGCATAACCATTAACCAGAGCCCACAGAAGTGACTTTCGAAAGATGAGGACAAACCCAATAATAATTGAATAAAGATATGAATTAAGAGAAAATTAATAAACAAAACCAAACTCTAGAATAGACGAGGAGAAAAAAAGATGGATGGTTATTTACCAGGGCTGTGGATCAGAGAAGAAAACAGTCGGAGAAGGGAAGAGCTGACTGGAGAAGAAGCTCAAGCTCTCGCATGCCCTAATTCGACGTGGTGTGCATCGTATATTGAGTGAGGGCATTCAATGAATAAAATTAGAAGAAGCAGAAGCTGTTTTGGAGAAGCTGCTACTACCCAGTTTCTAAAAAACTGATTTTTCAGCCATCTAAAAGTAGTTTTAAAATCAGATCGAAACACCAACAAAATTGATTCTAGTTCATTGTGCTCCTTGGGATAGCAGAATCAGTTTGTAAAAACAGATCTAAACACCCCCTAAGAGAATTAAAAGTGTACTTAAAAAAATAAATTAAGAAGTTGTTCTCTTCACCTTATTTAGATGTTTCTGATCTGATTTTTTAAGTTCTGATCTGATCTAATCTGAATTTTTCTGATATGATCTGATATGAATCTTTCTTATTTGGTCTGATCTGAATATTCCTGATCTGATATGAATCCTTCCGATATGAATCTTTCTGATTTAAATATTTCTTTAATTATAATTATAATAATTATAAATGTAAATATAATTTAAATATAATTATAATTATAATCATAATTATAAAAAAAACTATAATTATAATTAAAATTATAATTGTGCCTACTACACTAATTATAATTGTAGCTACAATTATAATTTTAATTATAATTTTAATCCAAAAAAATCGATTAGGCCCTCGTACTTTACAAACACTCAATTAAGTCCTCAAACTATTAAAAAACGTTCAATTAAGCCCTTTCGGTCGGTAAGTAACCGGTTTCCCGGTTAAATGTAACCTGTTTTCCGGCAGCCGTTGTTGCTGGGGTTCGAGCACATCGTCGCCGTCGTCGCCGTTTAACCGGGAAACCGGTTACTCACCGACCAAAAGGGCTTAATTGAACGTTTTTTTAATAGTTCGAGGACTTAATTGAGTGTTTGTAAAGTACGAGGGTCTAATCGATTTTTTCGGCATAATACGGGGACTTATTTGATAGTTTCTTTTAATTATATTTATAATTATAATCATAATTATAATATTTATTTATATAATTATAATTATATGTATAATTAAAAATATAAGTACAATGATAATTATAGATATAACTATTATTAGTGTATTAGGTATTATAATAATAACAACAACAATAATAACAATAACAACAAGAATAATAACAATAATAACAATAATAATAACAACAACAACAATAATAATAATAAATGTAATCCTTGTCTCGGTACCACAAATTTTGCTTTTAGTGTTTTGCAAATAAGCTTTAGATTGTTTGTAATAATTCATGTCATTTCCGGTACCACAAATTTGCCTCGGTAATGACAAGAATGTAATCCTTGTCATCTAAAAGCAATCCCCGAGCATAACAAACATCTCTAAAGGTGGGATATGATATGTCATTAGCTCTTTTTAACTCCTCAAAACTTCTTGGTCCCTTTAAGAAGTTCAATAAGGTTCGTAAGTAGTATTTTGCATGTGCTCCAGGGTGAACAAAGTAGGCACGTCCAACCACAAATTTTTGCCATCTTTATACCCCGCTCCTTAATATCCTTCTTCCACACAAATATGCTTGGAAAGTCCACATATGTCAAGTTTATGACCTCAGAGTATACTTGATTTGCTCTCATTCATGTTGTAAAATTTGTGTCATGATTCTTATGATTCGATAGGATGCCTTGGACATAATCTTCTGTCATGTAATAAACATTTTGCTCATTAGGTAGATGAAAACTAAGATGCTCAATTGACACATCCCTGTAGTGCATGTAGAATCCGTATATCCTCCAAGAAGCCTCACAAGTAGAGATGTTCGACAAATATAGCACACATTGATCCCATCAATTTTTTGTTGCTTAAAGTTATCCCCATCAGAGAAAGTGAATGTGATTAGATCATCACCTTTATTGATGTAATTGAAAAGATATTCCATTACTCATGAATGGTTAAACCATGCAACATTAATGTGTGCCACATACTTGAACAATAATTCATGATTGTGGGGGACTATGTATCTATTGTCAATATCACAATCATTTTTCACAACACATCTTCTATTACTCCTTTTTCTGTAGACAGGATACCCACTCCTATCAATTTTAGTGCATTGGGTAAACTTCTATGAAAAATGCTTTGTGCATCTACCTTTATCCACACACGACGACATCACGATCCATGCACCATCAACTATTTGACATCATTGTAATGAGAAGGATATGAATTCTCATCTAGATTTTCAGCAAATATGATTTTGTCAATATTCAAGATGCATGTAATGCCTTTTTAGACATCCACAAAACAATGTGGGCATGTGGCAGACCACGTTTATGATATACCATAGTATATACAAATGCAAAAATAATGAAAAAAGTTTAATTTCTTGGGTTTAAAAATATTAAAAAAAATTATTTGAAGTGGTAACCAAAATATATTACTTGTACAAATAAATCATGTTGGTATGTTGACATCCTCACAAAACTTATGTTGTTTGGGATCTTTAATGAGCAAATCTAACTTGATTTTAAAGACCCTACAAAGGATGTCATGGGGATCGTCTGGATTGAGTCATATGTTCCCAACGAAATGGATAATTTCTAGCCACTTCGGATTGCAAATGAATATGATGAAAAGTTGTGGATACTCTGCCCATCGACATATAACCACAGCGTCTTGATAATTTTGCATCATGTGAC